GGTGTGGGGAGAGGCCCAGTTAGAGGTAGGCGGTTCCCCTACTGTTCCGAGTTAAGGTGAAAGTCAGTGCCCATCACTCAGGAGAGCCAGGCTGGTCGGACCTCATTGTGGTGACTATGCCGTCTGAGTTCACTTATTACTTTCTACGTTTGAAGGCCCTGGAGGGAGAAATAGTGAAGGTTCTAGTACTTATTTTGTGTTTCCCACGTACCAGGTGCGGTAAGCAAGCCACTTCAGACAAGGCCCAGAACAACCACCTTAATAGGCCACGGAGCAAGTCGTGCAGTCAGGCCTCTGTGGTCCCGAAACCCGTGTCCCCATCGGCTCCGTAGTTCCCAGTGGAAACTGGGGGGATTTATGGGACTGTGTGCTCCTGTGGGGGCTGGGATGTGTGTGTTTAAATCCACATCTTCAGAAACTCGGCTAGAACCACAGCCACTGATTGCATGGAGGCAGAGGAGGGGAGGCTTCCAGCCTCTGGTCCAGCTCATGTGGAGCTCAGAAGTTGCATCTTCTGTCCTGAAAACAACACCAGATCTGAGGGAGCTGCAAACCCACTGCTCTTCTTAGATCCCAGAAAACTGGGGAAAAGCTGCTCCCAAACCAGAGAGGCAATCGGGCGGGCTTGGAGAGTCACAGCTCCCAGGGCAGAACCTGCTTTTGTAAGAATCCCGGGGGCAGGCAGATTTAACAGGTCCCTGAGGCCAGCGGGAGGCTCAGCGTGGGGAAGTCTGAGTGTGACAACTCCAGGGGGCCAGTCAGAGGGGCCCCATGCTCTTTTTCATGCATTTTACCTCCAGGACTGTGTCCTGTTCTCAGAATGAAGGTCAGAGAAAAACTCCTCATGCTTCCTGCCTGGAAAGGAGAAAGTAACTCTATTGAAATACACCCAGAACATTCTGTTTCATTGGGGGAAGTTGTTTTTGTTTGTTTGTTTTTTTAATGAGAAATTATTTTACCAGAGCCTAACCAACCTGGCGTAAGGGAAATACCTTCTGTGTCACCCAAATTGGGGTGGGGGGAAAGAGACACACTTGTGGAAGTCACAGCTCAGGGCACAGGCTCAATGAGAACTAATCACAGGACTACAGATGCCCTGCTCTGTCCCGCTCCCCCAACACCTTACCTCCATGACAGTAGGGCCTCTGTGTAATGACAGGAATAAAATTAAAAGAAGTAAAGGTCTCAGGAGTGTCTAGGGAAAACCCAAAGACAGCAGGGAGATGAAAACAAGGACACACAGGCGGCTTTAACCTCTCGCACGAATAGCTGTAGCAAACTACACGCAGCCCAGCCCCAGTAGATAAACAGAAAACCTCACAGAAGAAAGTATTTATTTTGGTTCTCTTACCCAGTGCATTCCATGGTGCATCCTCGCCTAGAATTGATTGGAACAAGTCCATCTCAGAAGGGACATAACTGAAGAGGGATGGCTTTCCAGACTCTGAAGGGCAGAGAGAGCACCAGCCTGAGTGAGAGCACGCTGAGGGGTGGGTAGGGGGTGGGCTGCCTTTTTCCCCAAATAGGAAACTTCCTGAGGCCAGTACAGTGGGAGGGAGGGCCATGGGGTGGAAGCAGCCAGACTTCTTCCTGAGAACTGATGGGATGCCTCCAAGGGAACATTCAGGTGCCCAAAATGGGCCCTGAGGGTGGGAGCCAGTCGGTTTGCTTCAGAGCCCAGGACTGAGGTAGGTGCACAAAATGCCGGTCTTACTTGGCCGGGTCCATTTCACTTCCCCAAGCCCTGTGTAAAACATGAAACGTGGACGGCCTGGTGAGCACAGCTCTGCCCTCAAGACCGGTTTCAACTCCTCTCTTCCCGGAAAACAGCATCTCTGAGCCCATCCTGGATGACCTCACAGAGACCACTCTAGTGGCCCAGGCTAGTGACCAGGAACATGTACCTTCCTGCAGCCAACCACAGACGTCCACTGATGCATCATATACTGGCAAAGATGTGAATTCCTGTGCATTGATCTAACAGCAGAGACTCTGCCACAGGCCCAAGAGGTGGTGTGTGGGACATGCAGGGGTGCAGGAGTGTAGGCAGTGCAAAAGTGTAAGTGGTAGCAGGGGTGCAGGGGCTGTGGAGGGCGCAGGCAGTTCAGGGGATGCGGGGGTGTAGGGGTGCAGAAGTGCCGGGAGTGCAGAAGTGCAGGGAGTGTAGGGGTGCAGGGAGGTGCTCAGGCACTT